AACCGAGCGTGTAGAAAAGAGACCTCCTTCACTTTGAAGGAACAAACTGAGTTCAGTAAATTCGATGTATTACACCTTATTCTTCAATCTCATGTAGGACTGCGCTGCACATGCGTAGTCTAAGAGCATACGTAGAAATTGATGCAAGCATTACTGCAACGCACATACTAGCCCTGTACTTCGGAGATTCATTACGAAAATTGGTCTTCCCTTAAAAGGGAACGATATTCGGCGTCTGTTCCGAGATGAGATGTACACCACTGCACTCATCTTGGAACGCTAATCCCAAATCTGATTTTCGTTTCTGCTAATCGTTCTCTGAAAGAAGTTATGAAGAATTTTCGCTCTAAGTTTGGCTGATATGGGAAATACGATCGGAATGCCAACACAGGGCCCGGCACGATGGTCTGGACTCAAACTAGACCGTTTTTGGGGTTAGAAGCAACGGGGATATTGTTTTTATGAGGTCCTGGGCGGAGCGCCGAAATAAGAATACAAACATGTCAGACACGAACTGAACGTGTTCTGCGCAAGCGCATTAATTTCGAACGCAAGATTCAAACAAGCAAATGGCTTGTTTACAGCGCACAAACAACACATGACACCAAATTTGGGCTATATGTATACAATATTTACTCCAAACTATATTGGCACCAAATTTGGGTTATGTTTTTACAATATTGCTCCAAACTATAATTATGTAAAAATTTTTAAAAACTTATGTGTTTTAGTACCCGTTCCCGAATTTGTTGGTTTTTAGTCCAACACCAAACCAACTGGGTTGGTTCGGAGCATAAATATAGGAGAGTTCACATAAGTTTTGAACAATTTTGATTTGAACGATTAGAACGCAATCTATCATATAGTGAAGAGAGCGAATCAAGCTATTGCCTCTCCTTTTTTGAGCCAAAAATAATGTAAATCTACGCACTGATAGATATCGCGCTCCAATCACATGCGGTGTCCATTGAACTGTGCGACGAAAAATGCATCGCCAGATTGTTGTGGCCCAGAATTGGTTGGTCGAAGAGGTTTTTGACATTCTGAACACTGTAATGGCATCATAACTCAATGACAGAGCCTTTAATCAATTCAAAATGTTTTTTTGTCTTTTTGTTATATTAAACACCTCAATATGCGCTTTTTTCGCTTTTTTGTTGTTATGTTGATCAAATAAGCGTTCCCTCACTTAATTTCACGTCAAAAGGACTTCGTAAATTTTCGCCAAATCTCGGTGGATTTTTCAAAAAGGCTCCAAACCAAACGTGTTGGATGTGCTAACAGCGCCGGTATGATGTGTTGTAGTGGCTAGAACGATAGCCTTACAAAATGACTCTAGTGTAGGTTCAAATCCCTTTGTATTTTCGGTTCTGCAAGAAAATCTTGAAGTAAATGTAACTTTAAAAATCCAACGAGGAGTCATTTTATATGAGTGTTCTCCGTATTTATTCTAAAAAGTGCTTACAAAAATGAAAATGAATAGAGCATAAATGCTTTTAAACATAGTGATAAATCTGTGACAAAAGGAAACATAGTTGCTCGCAATGAGGGCGGTGAATAGAAAATTCAATTTTCGCACTCACCCAGCAATTCACTTGAAAAGCAGTATTGTAAAATTAACCCGGGTGTTCATCAAGGTTGTTGAGCCTTTTTTGTCTCGAATATTCGCTCAAGTTATGACTAATGGACAGGTTTTAGCGCATGTAGTATCATTTTGGAATTTTCCAGGTTTTTGAAGAGTAAGGATATGCATTTACGTCGAGGATGTGCCTAACCTTCAAAAAGAAGCTCAAAGGCAGTGCAAAACGAAAATCACAATTTGCACCAGAATCTTCCTGCGAGGCTATTGCGCTAATCACCACACCACATCGTACCGGAGTACTGGCGTTCTGAACTATTTCCCCTGGGGGGCCAAACTTGGCGCAAAAATTCATCGTAACTTTTCTCAAAGAAACAATTAGCAGAAACGGAAGGCAGATTCGGGATCAGCGTTTAAGAAGAGTGCAATGTCATACATTTCACCTCAAAAGGCTACAGATGTCGAATATCGTTCGCTCGTTGATGGACATTCAAATGGACAAAGAATTTTTCTAAGAAAGTTCTCACTGACTTTGCAACAATACGAGACACTGATTTGGAGATGTTATCAAAAAACTTAAATAAGAGTAAGATGAAACGGAAAACTCTAGAGAAAGCCAAACATCATCAAATAGTGATATCGTTTGCATAGTCTGTTTTGCTTATGGCATACGCCTTAGTTTATCGCGCTTAGGCAAAACTCCTGCGCCCTTTGTCATTCTGAGAGATGCAATGGAGCGCCCTCGAAGAGTCTCAAGGCCGAAACGAGTGTGTAGAAACTGGGGTGTAAAAACTCACAAAAGGAGAAGACTTGGTGACCGTGGCCTCTTGAGGTGCAATCTACATTAGTACTCTCGTCTTGGAACGCTGATTCCAAATTTGATTAATCATTTCTGAAAGAAGTTATGAGGGATTTTCGTGTTCGAGTCTGACCGCCTAGGGGATGTACCTCCGGAAAACGTCGCATGCAATGATGATTAGTGCGCTAGCCTGTCAAATGATGAAAATATAAGTTCGAGTCATTTCGCATTCTTCAATTTCGCATTACTTGAACTAAGCCTTTTTTGATAATGTGGCATCCTCGAAATATACCCTTATTCTTTGTAGATATAGAATATTGGAGAAAATGATTGCTATACGCGCTAAAATGTATTTGTTGATCATAATATGGGGCAGTGGCGTACCGAGGGGCCCCCCCCGAGAATGGGTCGCGAAATTTTTGAAAGTTTCTTATATGTGTTATAAAAATGTGCAGAGGACTTGTATTTACTTGTAAATAATTAAAATAATTTTTAAAAATTTTTAAAAATTCAAATTAGCCTTGTAAAAAAAATTTTTCGGGGCGTGGTTGCCGCCACGCCCCCTTTTTCTGAAATTTTGGGGTCAGAGGCCCGGAAAAATTTTGAAAAACATCCCAAAATTTCTCCGGGCCGTGGCTGACGCCACGCACCTTCATTGAAAAAATTTTTTTGTCGCCCCCCCCCCCCCGAGCCAAAATCCTGGGTACGCCACTGATGTGGGGTTTTCAGACTAAGGGTACACGACAGTGCACCGGCGACGTTGGCACTCCGGTCGTATTTTCCTTGGGCGGTTTAAACTCGAAGCTTGAATTCCTCATAACTTCTTTAAAGAAACGCTTACCAGAAACGGAATTCATATTCGGGATCAATGTGTTAAAACGAGTGTAAAGTGTACATCACATCTGGAAAGGCTACCACTGAATATGCTTCCCTTAGTTTGGAAACGTCATAATTGTTTGAAAAAAGGGACAACTATGGAATTTTGGTTACCGCAATGGCTTAGCAGACATTAGATTCACTTGACGAAAACCACGTCTTTGACGCGCATCTGCCAAGCGTCGATTCACAAGAGTTTTGTGATTCTTTATACGCAGTTCATACGCATTCTTTATACGCACACATGCAAAACATATTTAGTATTACAACGTTACTTCTGCGTTGCAAAAAAGATTTTTGAAGTCACTACTGGGGAACCACAAAGAGAAGCTATGTCAAGTTCCCTTTAGTCACATGGTTTTTTTTACATTAGGTCATAACAGAATTGATGCAGATTTCCTACTTTTTCTTTAAAAGTGCTGGTTCGAAAAAGCTATTTTCGAGATTCTCACATATCTCCAGTCTGCCAAATTCTTATGAATGCTTTTATTCTAGTAAATGAATAGTTTAGAATCTAGGGGGGTTTTGAAATTTATAAACTGAATTTTGAGAACTTTCTTCTCACGCTTTTTGCTCCAAATCTACCGCGAAAAATCAATGTTTTCTGTAGAGATAATGTTTGTGAGTATGCTGACAGTATGCACATTATATCGTTACATTCGAAAGCCCTCAAGAAACTTCATCGCAAACTTAGAAGGCAATGCGGTTTTTCTCCCTTATAAAAATACGCACAGTGATTGCAGATTTTTCACAATTTACAGCAAAAATAGACTTAGAATTATTATCATTGGAAAGTCCAGCAGGAATGATATCCACGAAAGTCCCCGCGAAATGGGCTTTTCGTGCGAACAAAATGGACTTAGTCCATGCGGTGCGATAAGATATCGCATTCGCGAATTCATTCATTCCATACAAAAATGCTTCAACAAACCTTTCTCCAACTTGTCTCAACCTGTTTGCTCACTCTTGCAAACTCATTTCCACCAAGTGGTCGATATCTAACTAGGCTGACCTAACATTACAATGTCACTCAAGTGGCTATTCTATTCTTTCCCACTTCGTTACACCTAACAGAATGCCATTCGTTATCGATGACTATGCATCTAAATCACTTCCAAGACTAAAATTCATGTAATATCCGGGCCTTCGCTTCAAAACTTCTACGAATCAGCATTAAATCGAAATCGTATGTGGGGATTTCTGCAAAAAGCAAACTTTGGCTGGAGTTGCACTGCCATCTGTGAACCAAAATGCTCCTTACAAAAAACCTTGTACTACACTACAACTCAAAGGTTTTCAAGTCGCAAAAACTTTGAATCTCAAAAGATGACTTCGCAAGCTCTATATTAACTTTTCTTTGTCTTTCAGCACTAATATTTATAACTCTAAGCAGTTGAATGTATGGACTAATCTAGTAAGAAATTTTTCACGGAATTTCTCTAGCTAGCTAGCGGCACTTCAGTAATTCTACCAAACTCAAAATTGCGTTTAAAATGCCGTCTCTGAGGTTCGGTTCTACGAAATTAGCCAAAGATAGCTTCTAAGTAATTACATTGAAGTACAATTTTTTTCAAATTTTAGATTACAAATCATGAATTTGGTTTTGGTTGATGATTTGAAGAGTTAACAAACTTTATTTGATTTACATAGGAATTTTCGCATCGACCTGATATTTGGAAGCATATGAGTTTGTTGGCGAACATTTTGGTGATATTTAACCTTCTTCCATGATTTTTAGAGCGTTTCTATGAGTTTAGAAAGAAACACATATTTGAGACTTCATAAAAGACATGAAACTTTTTCCACTCACCTATTACCTCAGGATAGGTTGAGGAACACATTCCCAAAAAATCGCAATCAAAAATATGCAAAAAGGTCAAAAATGGGCTTATTCCCAGCTCACCTTGCTGCTGGGAGTAAAATGGGCTTTCAAGTCCATTTAAAATGGAGGTAATTCCCATTTTGCCCCATTCTAAATGGACTTTTGACGTCATCATTTCGCAAGCGAGAGCTCAGGTAGGGTTAAATCATTTTCACTTCACCGCTTTGCCTCGTGGTTGCGATGGGATGAAAATTTTTGGATAACGCGAGCGAAAACAGATTCCGACCACTCTTCACTGCGAACGAATAAAATGGGGCGTGAAAGTCCATTTTCCTCCATTATGGACTTTCGTGGATATCATTCCAGGAGCTTATTAACTCTTTAGCGGCAGAATATTCAAAAAGTCTTAAATACGCAATTTTTTGCCTCTTGAGAGTTTTTGAAGTTCCAGTTTCTTATAGCAAAAAATGTTTCGTCGAAAAATGGCCTGGTTATACCGCACAACCTACGATTGACTTACACAACCAGAAAGTTTGTGCTATCCTACCACGTTTTATAAGCTGCTAGCTGGCTTACCCGGCTCCGCCGTATGTTCCGAATAGAAAATTCCATTTCTTAACCGATCCGGACCAAACTTGGCACACATACACTTCGGACCCCGGCGGGTGTCACAGGCCACTTTCATCGAATCGATATCGATTTTATCGATTTTTTGCAGAGCTCACCTACGGGGCTGGGAGTTGGCAAAGAGGGGTAATCAAGCATGGGGATTCCGAATACAATATTAGTTTTCAGTACTTTCGTACGTCGATTACTTTTATTGCTAGTACGTCGATTACTTTTATTGATCGATGACGAAAAGTAGCCTATGACACCCGTTGGGGCCCGTAGTGTATGTGTGCCAAGTTTGGTCCGGATCGGTTCAGAAATGGAATTTTCTATTCGGAACATACGTACAGACAGACAGACATACTGATATACAGACAGACAAACAGAAATTCAGCTTTATATATAAGATGGTCTCCAAAATAAAGGTTTTCAAAGAAAATATCAGTAATCGGATTCAGAACTTGAAAACCTGCATCAGCTCTGTTACAAGCTAATATTTTCAATATTTGCCTGCTATATCGACACCGAGCAAACACGTACAAATTCTTGTCGTCGTCCTCTACTACAACTGTCTCTTTTGTTTTGCCCAATAAGAATTCCATCTTGCCCCAGTGCCAACGGTGGCTGAGTCTTGCGTCTTAACTCTGATCGTCGACACTTGGTATCAAGACGTGATAATACGAAAAAAATTTCGTTTCAGAGCAGCCAAGCACGAGGATTACGGCGTGCAAAAAGTGTCGGTAAGTCATAATCTTCAGAAACACCTTGAATCCAAATACATGCAACAAAGCACACGTCAAATTTATCCTCCCGGCCACTTCATTCACGTCAAAAAGCTATGATAGTGATGCCGGTTCTAATTTTTGGATGAAGTGAATAGGAATTGCTATGGCTCAAATATTAGGTTGACCCAAAACTTCTGTCGATCACATGCTTTCTCGCCGAGATGAATACGAAAAAGTGGGATTTGTTCAATAGTGTAAAGCAATCTAAACAAAATGTATACCAGATACTCGCACCACTCATAATCGGCAGAATGTTCGAAGCTAAAATCTAAAGTCTTTTAATTATCCAAGAAGTAGATTTATACGCAGAATTATCAACTTCTTTCTTGCGCTATAATGTAGTGGGCATATGTCAACACTCAAGTCGAAACACTTTAAATTTCTTTTTACCCTCCTTTAATCATTTCATAGGCGGTCTCATCCCAAAACTATCTTCCCTGTCAAGTTCTGGCCTCGCCGGTTTAGTGCTTCCGGATGGATTGCCCGCTTTCTGATGGACGTTGCTCTTTGGCTACGTCCAGAAATCTTCTGGTTCATCTCGCCAACTTTGGTAGGGTTGACTTGTGCATCTCCCTCCTCCACTGCTCTCCTTATCATTAGAAAATTCAACTCCAGAATCAGCGGTGCGCTGAATTGTGCAGTTTTATTCGGGATAATTCTCCTTTAGTACTTGAGCTTACGCTGTACCAATCCAGAAGACTTTTGCGATCGACGGTCTCCATGGCATACTTGGACGGTGTGCTCGGTCTTTTTAATATAGTATATGTTGACGATTGCCAAGTTGTGAGCTATGGCAATTTACGGGATACGTTCCTTTTGTTGTCACGCGTTCCAAATCCGTGGTTCCCGCGATACCAACATGTCCGTTAGGTTTGCGCCAACTAATAGCATCTCTTCCTTTGGTATCACTTAGTGTGATTGTCAAGCTGTTACCAAACTCTATTTCTCAGCTTCTCTGCATTCAATTTGAGGTGCGTGTGCTGTCATTATACGTAGCTTCTTCTTCCCGGTATCTATTCTATCCCTATGCACATGAGTCGGTCGCTTATTCAATTTATTACAGTCATCTTATCTCTCACTGCTTTGGAAACTACTATGTCGATATCATTTCTGCTGTTGCTCGTCCGCAGGTACAGAGGCTTGCACCGCACTTACCTATGCCACCCACCTTTTCTTTTTCCATCTGGTCTTTCAAATGTAGGCGACGTTTTCTTACGGCTTGTAAAAGTCTGCCACTTTGCGATGTCGTGTTGTAAGAGATTCCATGATGAGGGTTGCTATTAGTCTCTAACTAGCTGGCTTACCAGGCTCCGCCGTATGTTCCGAATAGAAAATTCCATTTCTTAACCGATCCGGACCAAACTTGGCACACATACACTTCGGGCCCCGGCGGGTGTCACAGGCCACTCGAGCATGCTGATCACCCCCGCGGGGGTGATCAGCATGCTCGATTACCCCCCCCCCCCCTGTGCCAACTCCCAGCCCCGTAGCTCAAATTTTGCAAAAAATCGATAACATCGACATCGATTCGATGACGAAAAGTGGCCTGTGACACCCGCCGGGGCCCGAAGTTTATGTGTGCAAGGTTTGGTCCGGATCGGTTAAGAAATGGAATTTTCTATTCGGAACATACGTACATGCAGACATACAGACAGACAGACAGACAAACAGACATTAAGCTTTATATATAAGATAAAAACGTGCCTTTGATGAGCTAGCTTTTCAGCCGTCTACGCATGCTGAGGGGGTAAGCTTAGCATATTGTTCGCTCTCGTCGAACCGCGCCTTTGAGAAGCGCACAAGTTGTCTTTCTTAGCCCTCTTATCACTTGTTTCCTTTCGGTAGGCAGCCTGACGCTGAATTTGTAGCCAGAGTTCTTCTAGGAAAAATTAGATTCGTCGCGGAACCAAACTCGTGTTTCTATTTTTTGCCGTTGTCAAAGGCACTAAGCTCTCGGTCAACTTTGCCCAAGCGAGGTTTACGTATATTCCAAGTACTTTTTCCTAATCAGCCTCAAATAAGGTATCATGTGTTGTTATGTTATATGTAACTCTTTTCAGGATCAAGAAACGCAAAGGGAAAAAGGTCAAAAAACTTCAACGGTTTTGTTTCACGATTGGGGCGAAACGAGTTATAGCTACATCAATGGATAAATGCAAAAAGAAGAGAAAGGCTGCGCAGCAAAGACGGCGATAAAACAGTATATGCCTCATTTCATCAAATTTATCGCATGGGATAGCGAGAGAGTTTGAAGAGCAATGTCCAGAATAAAGATTCACAAATTTTGTCGTCTTCTTTTTTCTTTTGGAGACGATACAATTGTGATGTTGGCAAACCGCTTATCAAAGATAATGAGCACTATTGCTAACAACTTTGACAGGAGAGATTTATTCACAAACTACAACTTCTTATAAGGGAAGGATACTTAAGCGAAGTAAGGTTTCCGAATGAAATGTACAGCATCTTGTAGAGCACGAGACGCTGATTCCAAATCTGTTTTCCTTATTTGCAAAGCGCTCCTGGGTGGTGTATAATGGGAGTTTTTTAAACTGAAAATGAACGCACAATTAAATAAAATCATCCCGAAGTATAATTTTTAAGCTCAAATGGGGCCATGATTACTGCCACGGCGCTTAATGCACTTAATACTTTTAGTCCAATAAACTTATGCTGCTCATTACCCCTTTCAAACGCCCTCAAACATTTCTACATTTGTCTTTGCCGTAAGCAAACCCTTGAATTTTTGCCTCAAATAATTCCCATAATTCCTCTCCTAGAAGCGCTTTGCAATTAAAGAAAGCAAGTTTGGAATCAGCGATTTGTGATCTATAAGAGGGTATACGTTTTTTTTATAGAAACTCCACTTCGACCAAGTATCTTTCCCTTGTTTCGCGAAAAAAAAACATTCAATGAAAAAGCATTAGCTTGATTGTGTCACAATTTGACTCCTATTTGTTCAGACCAGTACTTGCCATTTAACCAACAAATGCTGTGTAGCAGTCCGATAAACCATATTGTTATTAACATTGTTGCTATTATAAACTATTATTTTCCAGCAAAGTTGCTTTGCTTTTCTTCTAAAAAATGCGGTAAAATAACCTGCTCATGAAAGGCTCGGTAGGTGGCTTTATGTTCTACTCCTTGACAACTTTTCCATGCGTTGCAAAAAAAAGCAAAATTTTAAACTTGCTTTCTCCACACAAATCACGGGAAAGAAGAATAAGAAAGGGCCTGCATGATCAATAGAAGTGCATACACTTGTACACAGCTAATCTTTTAAAGGTGCGACTACTTCCCCAAGTCATAAATATGAAATTTGGAACAATACGTGGATTGAGAGAGGAGGGAGAAGGAATGCAAGAGAAGGGTTCCGTAACTATTGTAGGAAGAAGAGGCAGCTTAAGCAACGTTTCCTAAAAGTTCTTTCGGTAAGCCGCTTGCGCTTTTCTAAGGTGTCGGACACGGACACATTCACGCAATTTCTTCCGACAAGACAATTGTTATAAACCCATTGCCTGTCGATCACCTTGTAATTCGATTGTAATAGTTAATCAAATTGGTCATGTTGAAAAACTGTCACAACCGAAATGCAAGAGGATCGGCATGTAATGGGCTCGTGGCAGTTGTTTTATTGGAAAATTACGAGGAGATATCGCATGAACTATACCCGTGGCCCTCAGCTCATAATAAAAAGTTTTCTACAGCTATTCTAGTTCTGACAAAATTAGAAATCTAATGTTGTTTACTGGTGCATATAAACAAGAAACTGGTTGCAATGCTGAATGCACAGATTATTTAAACGCTTTGGGGCCCTAATTAAGGCACTGCCGAAGCAGCAGCTCAGGTAGTGCTCTAATGGCGGAGATATTCCCCTCGAAACAGACCCCCGCGAACGTATTCGCATGGATTCATGGCAGTTTCGCGCCAGGATCCGCGCTTTGCGCCATGAATCCATGCGAAACACGGTCGCGGGGTCCAGTTTCGAGCAGAATATCTCAGGCGTTACAGCACTACCTGAGCTGCCGGTTGGGTAGTGGGTTAGTTAGGGCCCCAAAAGTACTTTCCATGTAAAATCCCCATAGGTCCAGACTTGCCTGGACGCTGCCTTTAAGCTCCAAACCCCAATTTTGTCTCTAAACCCCACCCAAATTAGCCGAATAGGACCCCCCCCCCCCCCGGGTAGGAGTTCAGCGCGACCCAAGTTTGCAAACACCCGATTAATAGTTTATTCATGATCGAAGAAAAAATTAGCATAATCAAGAATTTGGGCGGAAGTTTTTGGTAGACACAGTTTGAATTAGAACTTGACAAGTAGTTATACGACGTGATAAACGAAATCACCATACTTTACAGAGAATCACAGTTAGAGAATATAGCAAGAGCAACTTGAACAATATTTCGACTACGAGAGCGTCCTACGGCATGACCGATACTTAGTAAACAAGAAATACTGTACAGATACCACGACGGTGGGAAGAAAAATGAATGCAGCTGTGATGAGGTAAAGACAAGGGAAGAGTTGAAAGATTTCTGTTCTCTATCAGAAACTATCCTAATGAGCAGGTTCCACGGTACTGCTTACTGCTTGTTCAGTACTGCTCACTGCTTGTTCATTGTGCAGTTTCATTTTCTTTATCTCCTGTCCATTTTCAGATCTTGCTGCTAGCTGAAACATTTATCATTATCTTGACTCCAAACAATCAACTCAATCAAATATTATGAACCGATCCCTGTATCCAAATCACTCGGGATATCATCCAGAAGAAAAAATTCTCATTCTGATACTTCCAACGTTGTTGGGCCAGCAAAAGCACGATGCTCTTGCACTCCATTACTCAAATGCAACGTTAACACAAATCTCCGCATCTCCAATTTCGAGCGCCTTCTTTGCCATAGCTAGAGCTCCTTCGAATGCCTTGTTACGATAAACCCTAAATACCACAAAATGAAGAAATTGGCAAAAAATATGAGAAATTTCAGATGTACCTGTCACGTGCACAAATATGCATCCGTCAATGCCGCAGAGATTAGAAAGCTCCTCAACCAGCATTGTAAAATCGCCTAATCTAGCGTGATCTCAAAGCTGCACTATAAATGATGATAGCATGACCTGCGTTACCGTGCTGACTCAAGACATTCCGCGACGCGACTCTCACCGCACAAACGCAGTTGCGCGAGAAACATGCAATCAAAGGTGAAACACAGCATGGGTGATGTCAAACAGCCAACACCTTGACTGCGGTTCACCCAGACTAACCTCCAACAAGATCTATACCTTGTTGAAACCTCTCGTCGGGCTTGGGGTCAGTTTCGTTCCAGTAGGGACTCACATGATTGACACGACCAGAAAGTCCACCAGGGGCGATATGCATCAATCTCCCGTTTTGAAAGCGGGCGATCATTTCCAATAAAAAGTGAATGCCCGGCCGGGTTGGCCGCAGCTTCGTACATTACGGGTCGGGCGGCCAACCCGGCCGGGCAATCATTTTACTATTGAAAATGATCGCCCGCTTTCAAAACGGGAGATTGATGCATACCGCCTCAGATGTTTGATATTGTCAAAGTCATATGTTGAAGCAGCAAAACCACACAGCCAAATCAATATAGATAGGAAGAAATCAGCATACAATATGTTGATGATTAAAGCATGATTCTCATCCAAAACGTTATTCGAAAAAAAAAATAAAACTTCAAGCAAGATATAAATGGATGCTGACAAGGCTCTTACCTGGGTGTGCCATCATACTGTGGTATGCCGTTATTGATAGCATCTATGGCTTCGACAAACGTTTCGTAAAGCTTTCGAAAAAATATATACACCATCTTATCGTCGTGAAAGGAATCAAGTATCTGACGATAATAAACTGAATAAGAAAGATTAACCCTGACTGACAATGCTTACCTCTGCAATCAGTTGTTTTCCATAATGAGCCTAGATCAATCCAGCTGAACTGAGTCTAGAGTTAGAATCCAGGCCCAAATGTCTGCATCGTCTCATTGAACTCTCTGAAAACAGCACGATTATGGAATTACTAACATTAATTGTGTGATCTTCATGACTGTAGGAGACTCAAACTTAACAGCATGCAAAGCAAGACCTACAATTGGTGATGGTCGTATCGTTTCTTCGAATGATTGTATACACACGTCAACGATAACATCGCACTTGGCAAGTACAGCAGGATCCCGTGTCCTGAAATGTCATGATAATGAAATGATGACATTACGGGAGATATCCTCAAGATGAATTGTGTGCAATAAAACGTTCAAGTGCGCAAAGATTCTTTGAGTTGGTATAAAGATGTGACGAGAACCTCTATCAAAACAGCAGGCTCTGCTCCGTATCTATCAACATATATTAAGGATTAAAATACACTTCCAGTGCGCATACTCGTAATCATGCACAAGATAGACACAATCAATTACGCAAATTTCGAGCTGCATAAGACACATCTGAGGTATAAATCGATCCAAAAAGCCATCAACCCGCTTACACTACCAAAGGTATAGGCGATTTATCAAATGCACAGACTAGACGTCATTGCGTCCGACCAAGATAATTTGTGCATGGGAGAGACAGCAGACGGCAAGAGGTACGAAAGAGCGCTCAAGCGAGACGCCGACAGCGTCCGCAGTGACGCCTATTACGTGCGATGAATTCCTCTACAGTATTTACCTTGAGGTGATGCAAATGCTCTGGATTAAGGTAAGAATACAGGGTAAATTTGACCTCGTTCCATGCTGGCTAGTAAACACTGGTTTGAAAGTTGCGCAACTAACCTCATTGTTTCGAAAATCCAGAATTAATCACAAAAACCACTCCATCAATAGTTTACGATGTCTCAGCAAGTCGAAAAGAGCCAAACACTGAAGGTGATTGAGTGCAACCGCACGAAAATTTGAAACATAAACCTGAAAAACGAGGAACTTACAACAACATAAACGCCAACGCGACGGAGAGCAACGCGGAAAAGAAAAAAAAACGGTAAAGAAACGCGGAAAAACAACAAAATCAAAGAAACGACGACTAAAATATGGAGAAAGAGCGTAAACAGAGGACTCATCACCGTGGAGTTAGACGTTTGCTTGCTACGCGCCAAATCGATACGCAGCCTGCTCCGGGGCCCTCCCATTTCTGCTCCGGATACCTCCCATTTTCTGCTCCGGATACCTCCCATTTTCTGCTCCGGATACCTCCCATTTTCTGCTCCGGAGGCCTCCCATTTCTGCTCCGGACCCCTCCGATTTTCTCCGGCGCGGCTCTTCCAAATCTGACGGACTCGCGCCGGGCAAATTTCTCCGGCGCGAGTCCGCCAAATCTGGCAGAGTCGCGCCGGAGAAATGGCGTACCTTTGCAGCAGGGCCGGAGAAGCCTCCCACTTGCCTGCCAGTGATGTCACCGCGACGGACCGCCCATTTGCCCCTCTCTCATTGGTCAACTGAGTCCGGCGCGACTCTGGCAGATTCGGACTGTCCGGCGAAGGGGTCCGGTCGATTGTCTGAGGACATGCAACAACACTGCGAAAGGACCAGTTGGCCGCGAAAGGCGGCTCAAACATGGAGTTTTGCATTTTCGCGACGTGCTTTGGCAGTTGGTCAAGCACGCGGTCAAGGGGTGGAGCTTGTGCCAAGCCGCGTGCTTGGCCCTTGGATGACCATTCCGGTCTTTCGTCAGCTGAGGGACGGCAGGTTTTGCTGCTCTCCCTGTCATTGCAAGAAGTCAAGAAGATTTGTGGTTCAAGAAGAAAGAAGATGTACAAGTGCAAACTTCTCGAAGGAGGAATTACGAACGCTGAAGGTATCTAGTCAAGTTTGATCGCACTAGTTTTATCTCACACTTTCCTTAAAGTGTCTGTTGAATAGGTTCTTAGGAGGATGTTAGCAAGGGATGGTAATTACTTCAGTATTACAATTCGAGAGGCAAGATGGTATATCGATTTGGAGTCGTTAACGCTCATGTACATATTAGGTCAGTAGACAACTCACATCATATTAGAAAACAATGCTATTGACACTGGCACATTGCGGTGACTCAGGTAGTCTTCTCTAGTTTCTAGGTAAAACCATCTCTTTTTTGCGATTCCCAGTTCTCTCTAGCGGTTCATGCCAAGAGATTAGGCTATGGTACAATGTCGATTCCCGAATAGTGTTTAAGTTCAGTATTACATCGAACGCTTCGAGGTGCTTCGTCGGCTCATAGGAAATGCCAGTCTCGCTGGTCTTTACTGCATGATCATACCTTCACTTGTTGAAATGACACTTCATCAATAACCGAGCTGTGACATTAGAACGGCAATCAAGTGTTAACATCACAGATGTGGCCAGTCCCACGTTGTGATTTCAGTTAGGATTCAACACGGATGCAAGGGTGTGGATCTGGAGCAGTTGTCCTTTTTGTGTCAAGAATCATCTATATCGCCTAAAGGTCGAGATAGTTGGGTGATGGCATCATCACTATCTACAGTGTCGATATCATCTATTCACGTTCTAACCATTGTATAGTGACCGAGTTTCGTTGGTAGCTTGCGAAGGAGTAATTGTATTGTGGTCAGCCGAGGCCTTCGAGTCTTGTTTCAGAGGGGGTTTGTTGTCGGACATCCCAGTATCCGGGCCGAATATCTTTGAAACTCGCTCCTCTGTGATGGTGCTTGAAATCTTCTGTTGGGTTTTCGACTCCGGCACCGAATCGGACATCAAGTCGATCTATGAGGGACATGGATGCGGTTCGCGAGGCTATCGAGCTGGAGGTCACTCCCATTAGTATAACATACCTGCTGCAGGGTCGAGGTTCTTGATTATAGGTTTAGGGAGTAGATTAGTATATGAAGCCGGCTTTCGCCGAGTCATCAAATTTAGAAGTCTGGCTCCTGCACCATGCTCTTAAGTATCGTTTTAGAACTTGTTTAGATAATGAGATGGATTAAGATATCGATCGATCGGCTCCCGTGCCCATGATTATCTTTACAGAATTGGTTAAGTATTAACTTCAGATGCCGGCCCCTGCGCCGAAGTTTTTGATTATCGATTTAGAGAGTAATCGATTAGTATATGAGGCGGGTCTCCGAGTCATCAAATTCAAAAGTCTGGCTCCTAGATGCCGGCCTCCGCGCCGAAGTTCTTGATCATCGATAGAGACCGATATCATTAGTATGAGATAGTGGCTCCTGCGCCGAGGTCCTTATTCACTGATGTAGAGGTTGACTTACTGACCGTGTCGGATGCCGGCTCCTGTGCCGATGAAGAGGTTAATCGATTTTTATTAAAAGAGGCTCTTGTGCCGAAATTCTGGATCATTGCTTTAGAGGCTGATCAGTTGTAATATCGGCTCCTGTGCCGAGGTTTTTCATTATCGATATAGGTCATGTTAATAGTAATATGGTCCCTGTTTCGAGGTTTTTGATCTTTAGTCCAAAGTTGATGAACTAGTAGTGGACACCGGCTCCCGGGCCTAGTTCAATTTAGAGATTATTCGATTGATAAACCGCCGTCATGCCGAAGTTCCTTTTGTAGCTTCAGAGGTTGATCGATTAGTAAGCTTCAGTATCGGCCACTGTGCCTAGGTTTCTAGTTGCCATAGAAGTTTTATCAAGTTCAAAGTACGGACCCCGCGTCGAGGTATTTCATCATTTAGAGGTCGACAGGCAAGCGTGTTGGACGCTGGCTTCCGGGTCGAGGTTGAATTAGAGGTCGATGAAAAATATTGTACTGCCTTCTATACCAAAAATGTGATCATTGCCTCAGAGGTTGATATATCAGTAACCTTAGCTAACGGATCTCGCGCCGCGGTTTCTCCACAATGATCCGAGGTTCTTGTCGTCTAATCGAATAGCAGTATTAGATGCGACTGACAAAATCTTGACAAATGATGGTGGTCGATCGATTGAGTCAATGCCGCCTCGCCAAGATGACTATGAATCAAGAGGCTGATCGATAGATAGTAAGGTAGCTCTTGAGCTGGAGGTCGATCCAGAAATAAATAGACTATACTCATGCCGGCTTTTATGCTGAGGTTCTAGATATAAGTTTGGATATTGATTGATTGGTTATATGGACAGCAATTCTTGTCTGCTCCGAACCATCTGATGCAGATATGGTTGACTGGCAAGGTCGAAGGCGGCTACCAGTGCCGTGGTATACGGGTAGCACTTCGGGTCAATGGAGTAAATGCTGATTCCGGCTCCTAGGCCGAGATTTTCTTTCGAGATGTTCATTCTGTAGCGGCAGCCTTTAGCCTTTTGGTTCTCTAACGTCTTTGGGAAGGGACGCTGATGTTCCCTGTATATTCTTTTACATGTAAGTGAGCGGCGAGATATCTAGATGATCACCGTTAAATAATCGTTCTTGAATAAGAGCGAGTGCGTACACATGGATGGTTTTTCATGGTTTTTAGTGCACAGACAAACGAAGTAAGATTCGAGTCAATACAGACAGTTATGTTTTCAAGCAACGTTCATATACGGCACTCCAAGGCTAGGAACTTCAGCTCAACTTGGTTATCCACAGAAGTTTTTGCTAATAGGAAATTTGTCGTTCGACTACTTGTTGGCCTGGGTTAAGGAAGAGGTACTCAAGCACGGAACACTGTGCTCCCAATACATGCTTCTCAGGCCAAGGTGGTCTGGTCAGTGAGGATTTCACGGTTGACAGGAATGAAGTTCTGCTGAAATTGTTGATTTCTGCGAAGGCGCACAAGAGATTGCAGGCTACAGCGTGCCCGCTATCTCACTGCACTCAAGTTCTGGCTTTCTGTAGCCAGTCATGATAGGTATTCCCACCAAACTCCAAGTCTCCTCATAAACGATTGATCAGGTTATGGTGATCTTTCAGTGTGGTTCCGAAGTTGAAGTGAAGAAGACACTAGGAGATCTGACGTGAAAACAAAATTCTGTGGTACTATCTTGGGAAGGTCATGTTTCGATAAGGGGAATAGCGCAGAAATAGGGTACAGACCATGTATGTAGACCAGACCCGTTGCTGTTAGGTATTTCCATTATCGGGATGCCCTCAGGAGTGGACTTATTAGCGTGTTGGATGACTGTTCAGTTTTACTAGCTTTTTCGTATCGCCCGAAAGGTCCCCCTCCCCCGGGTTCTACCCCCGGGCTTTGATATTTCCGTTCACTGTTGCGAAATGCAAAACAGAGGTTTTGCCGTAGAATATCGGAGGCAAAAATGGAGTTTTGCATTTTCGCGACTTTGGCAGTTGGCCAAGCACGCGGTCAAGGGGCGGAGCTTGTGCCAAGCCGCGTGCTTGGCCCTTGGATGACCATTCCGGTCTTTCGTCAGCTGAGGGCCCACCCACCCACCCTTGTGAGGCCTCAGCTGCTGTAGGATAGTCCTTTGTAGAACCATGACAAGGCCCGCTGAACGAACAAAATGGAATGGGAATGGAAGCTGAAAGGAAAAATGCAGCGCGAGAGACACGATGCACGCGGTGCATTTCCCACGACGTCTCTTCCACGGGAAGTGCTTCACATTGAGATGGGCAGTAATGGCGTTCATCGTTATGGGCAATCTCGTCGTACTGGTCTCGTTAACCGCAAGCATGATTGTCACTTCTGTATTGGTGTACATTCGACAATGATTAGTTTAATCGTTATTGTGTGTACAAGTCTCTCAAGACTTCAAAAAATTGTAGACTCTCATTGTCATTTCTATTCATCTCAACAGCGTTGTTGCAAATTCTCAAAGGTCTTTTGTTAGGATCATAGCCGAAGGCGCTGAGCCGTCTAGGTCGGTTATTAGTTGATCACTTGTGTGAGAATAATCCATTATCTTTGTGCAGTGTGTATTGCTGTTGCTATTGCTAGTTGCTGTTTGTTTGGGGAACCATCCCATTACTGTACATAAGCTGATGAATGAACCTTCCCCCCCCCCCGTTCACTGTTGCGAAATGCAAAACAGAGGTTTTGCCGTAGAATATCGGAGGCAAACTGGCGGCTTTCGTTCCCCTACCCTGTGCATGCTATTCAAAGCAAAAATTACAGTCAGCACGGTCTTCGTGCCAGGGCCTTCTAACTTTGTATAGAGATTCCTGTCCGAGCTGCCTTTTGGAGATTGGGTAAATGCCCCGAAAAAGGTTTTTTTACCCGTTTCAAAGCTCAAATTCGTGGTCTACGGATCAAAAAGGCCCAAAACCTGCAAAAAGATGGAAATGCAGAAATTTGCCGGGACACTACCTTTAAACATTCATCACAACAGCTCACTGATGATTTTTACGTAGAGTTAAGGACACTAAGTCATCAGTTTGCGCGAAATGAGTCTATTATATTGAGTTCGTTTATTGGCTGACAATTTTAGAAATTTGTACGCTGCGAACATTTCTTAGAATTCTTAATGTTCCGAATCCGTTATTTTTTGCACAGTCTCTATGACCTAGGAAGCTTCTTCACACAGCGGCACCAAGCATTCATGTGCAAATGGAAATTTCTAATTAGCATTGTTTGCTTGCAGATGCTTTTCCAATACTAATTTTCGTACCTATAGCATTTGGATAGTAGTTACAACTTTCAACGAGTGTTGTAAAACGAGAGTTTCACTTTCGCACATCTATCGTTATTTCCAAAGCAATGAAAACATTGACCGTACTTTTTGAACGACATACAAAAGCTATCAATTGCAGTATTGACTGCTCTTACAGCACTACTTACAATATGAAACATCTAATATTCAATTTTTACTTTTTTCCTCCAACCTCTTGGAATGATCCTCCTTTGCTTATTTGCCTTTAGATAAAAAATACAGATTTTTTGTTGAACACTCTTCATGTCTGGGTATCATAGAGTACAATTCGTGGGAAGATTCGTTTGTAGCAAACGTAATCGCTATAGCATTTGGTCTTTCATTCATCACTAAAAATATAAGGTTTTTATATGAAAACAAAGGTTTCATAAACAAGGTATTATTGTATGATGGACTTTCCCATGCATGCTTGATGACTCTTAAAAAGTTTATCCAGCCTCCTATCCCATTTACCAGTAACTAACCTCCGATTAGATATTATGCGACATTTAGCATTCAAACTGGAAAGAAGTAGAAAATGAAAGTCATAAAAACCGAAATCGATTACTCATATGGACAAGGGTCTGCAAGACCGTTTTATTCCATGGCTAAACGGCAGGAAAGTGATGAGGATGGTAAATAACCCTTCGTTGTCGTATTCAACGATGATGTAAGAGTAATGAGTAACGTGGGAGTGGTGACGAGCTTTCCATAATGCAACCTCGCCTTAGAAGAGCTGTATAATCGAGCCTTTTTGCTGTATTTTTCTGGATTTCGCATGTTGTTTTTAAGGCTTAGACACAAAATAATGTTTACTTTATAAAGAAATCAAAACTGCGATACAGTTTGTAGAGCCCCTACATGTTTATGATCCTGCGGGCATGCATGATCGCAAAATCTCGCTTTTGCACTACTCTTTGGTTTGAAATAGTGTGCTAACTACTGACACTCAATCGGACCAAATTGCCTCTGCGCGGCACTTCGAGTTTCGATAGTTTTGTGGGATAAGCGACATTTTGTCTAAGACATGATTTGAGTTCTACGGCTAGTAGGTTCTTGTGCGAAGTATTGGGTGGCAAAACATTTTTGGAACATTCCAGCTACAACTCATTTTTGGAAGTTAACACATTCATAGAAATAGAAATGTACAGATGCACTCTCGTATGTGTGCAATGTAAATACATCTGAGCATGTGGGAGAAGTTTAGGACCAAAAGAGCTGAATTTATTGTTTTTCAGTATACCTAATTCTCGCTTTTAAAAGCGAATTTATACAATGCTTATGCATGATTATGAAAAAGTGAATAGTGCATACTGTATAGTGAAAAAAGAAAAAGCGTTATGGTTTGGTGGAGGTGGAGAAAGGTGGAGATGTGCGTTCGGCGAAACCTTGATTCTTGAACTCTAACTTCTTCAAAATTTATACTAATATTGTATTCGTAATCATCATGCTCGATTGCCCCCCCTGTGCCAACTTCCAGCCCCATGGCTCGAACATTAAAGAAATCGATAAAAATCGATAAAATCGATATCGATTGACACCGAAAAGTGCCCTGTGACACCCGCCCCGCCCCAAAGTATATGTGTGCCAAGTTTGGTCCGGATCGGTTCAGAAATAAAAATTTCTATAACACACACACACACACACACACACACACACACACACACACACACACACACACACACACACACACACACACACACACACACTCGACTTGAATATAAGGCTTCTGCTGAATACGGATAATGTTGCTTTCCATTGTGAGACAAAGGGTTGGATGATTCAAAAGAAAAATGGTTGTAGAGGGTTTCCCTTTCGACTCTTTTTCCTGGAACGGACAGGAGTTCTGCATTGCGGGACGAGAACAAAAACGGCTAAACATTCCTTGCACAATCCAAATGCGCCTTTCAGATGACTTCCTAGTGGAATAGGCATGATATACCTGTTGAGTGCATAGTACTGCATGACAAATTATGGCTCTGTACGGCAAAACTGTCCAGCAGAATTTTACTGGGACGTGCATTAATATCTACTGTACTGCTCAGACATCTTCCCATGAGTTGATCGTTTGTTTCACCATCTTTTAAATCATAAGTGCGGTACTTGTTTCGATGCAGGTGCTGATTAGGCTTTTTTTGAAACTAGACCCGCTGATCTTCGCAAAAAACGGAATGGAAATCCTGATAACAAGGTGGCGGAAAATTGCGGAGAATTGTGCGCAATAAACATACAGGGTGTCCCAAAAAGATGTGCACACTGTTTGATTGTTAATAATTCTCTTGCTTTCAAGTCTTTTGCCGAGCTTGAGGTATCATTATTTAGAGCGAGGATAAACTTAGATTTACAGTATGGAGCGACTTATCAGCACTCTTCATTACTTTAGGATAACAGTAGGAATTTCGAGGAGGATTTTAAGCCATTGAAAGCGGTATTTTGCCTTAGAAAGAAAGCCAAACAAGCCAGAAACTCTTGAACTAGGTTAATCGAAGTTGCTGATTCTAAATATGAAAATTGCACGTCAGTACACTGTTTCTTTCATGTATTATCTCATATTTAGGGTAACGACTGATCGGTCAATGTTTGTCAGAAATGTGAATACACCATCAAAAAAGCATGAAAAGTTGGTGGAAAGTTATGTAGCGAAATCAGCACGCCTGAAAACCTTACTACACAAATTTTTAGATTTTTTCGAAATTATTTCAGCAAAAAGGCTTATTCCGCGGTGATGCTGATGGTGAAAGTTCATACCGTGGTCCTACAGTAACGAAGAGTGATTGATGATTTGCTCTATACTGTAAATCTAAGTTTATCCTCGCTCTACAGATTGACACCTCAGCTCGGCAAAAGACATGAAAGCAAGAGAGTTATTAACGATCGAACAGTGTGCACATCTTTTTGGGACACTCTGTACATGCATCGTCTTCTGATAGGATTCGTCATTTTGTCGGTTTATGAAAACCTTACTAATTTATAAAGAGAGCTAATGCTTGGTACCATCCCATTTGGTTTTTTGCGAAGGTTATGCTGCAATTCCTGTTAGTAATCACAACGAAGCAAAAGCCTCGTCAAATTTGATTTCGAAAACTTTTGTGCCAACCCAGAATTGACGTATGGGTTCCAAGAGTTTGCTCAAAGTTCGCATCGCTACGAGTATAAATAAAGCTCAGAAACTACAGTATTGAACTGCTTGTAATTGATAGTCAATCAATGACATTCACAGTGTGGGCAAATAGCTTATTTTTAATACACATATGGAGAAAAAGTACAAAATATTCAAAGCAAAAGTATTTCACAGTAAGCGCAATGATTGAAATAAATTTAGTACAGTCAGAAGTTTCGCAAAAATGGAACTTGAGATGCAATATTGTTCGTTTGTTTCAAAATGGCCAGAATTATCATGACTTATAATAACGGGCTAAGGGCTGTTTACGTTTTTTTGTGTGTGTGTGTGTCTGTCTGTCTGTCCGTTACGAAATTCGTAGGGAGAGTTCCAGCCAACCTCTTGAGCCCAAATTTTGCATAGTACATCCTAGCAGCAGGAAAGTCCATCTTGCAAAAGCACAAGCGGATCCGATAAGTGGATCCCCTAGAAATTGCGCGTGAAACGGGTCCACTTAACTTCTGACCAGCAAAATCGGGTCCGTATATAAATTTTTTGCAAAGTCGTGCATATGTTTGACAAGCTAATGTACAAGCCATGGACTTTAGCCCAGAAATTTCAACTGAAGTTGATTACTTTACGAAGATGGCGCCAAAAAGAGTTAGTTGCGTAAATGTTTAGTTTCCCAAGATTTTACGTGATCACTTGAGAAGGTTTTTGCGCAGAGATGTAGCCCACGATGATTATTGCCATTATAGCGACTACCAAGCCACAAATAGTCCACAAACCTATTCAAATTTGCATTTATTCTTTTGAGAAAAGTTTCATCCCCGTGAGAATACCGATCTCACACAAAAAAGCTCTAGGAATGAGTAGCTGTTTACAAATTATCCGTGATAGCCTGCATAACGCGGTGAGTTTCAATGTCACTATTATGCGGGAATGAGTAAGGCATACGGAAAGTAGGGCCAGTGCGAGCCTCTGCGAAGCAGAGGTGGCGCACTGGTTGCTTAATAAACGGCTGCAGGCCAACAGTGTGAATTAGGTTTTTTATTGGGGATTGCAAGGCTGTGAGTAGACGAGCGAAAGTATTTTGTATTGAATCTCAATGGCTCACAAAAAATGTATGTTATTCGCAAAAACGAGTAATGTGAATTTCTTTTACATCT